TATTTCTTGATCAATTTCAATGGGGTTTTATTCTTGAATTCTTGGGGTTCTTTAATATGCTGAATCTAACCGTGTATTTAGTTTTGGATTTTGGGCCCCGTTTTTAAATTGGTCCACATTGAGGTCCAAAGGGTCCAAAATTAAACTTTGTTTGATTTCATCAAATATTGAATTATTGGGGTTCTTTGATATGCCGAATCTAACCGTGTATTTAGATTCTTAATTTTTGGTTCCGTTTTCAAATTGGTCTACATTAAGGTCCAAAGGGTCCAAAATTAAACTTAGTTTGATTTTAACAAAAATTAAATTCTTAGGGTTCTTTGATATGCTGAATCTAAACATGTATTTAGATTTTTGATTATGGGCCCAGTTTTCAAGTTGGTCCGAATCGGGGTCCAAAATTAAACTTTGTTTGATTTCAACAAAAATTGAATATATGGGGTTCTTTGATATGCTGAATCTGTATTTAGATTTTGGATATTGGACCATAATAGGTGAATGTCTAATTTAAAATTTTTAAGTTCTTAGACCACATTCATTCTGTGTTAGAAACCTATGCTGTGTCAAATATTTAATCACAATCCAAATGCAAAGCTGTATCAAGCTTGAATGTTGTGTCCATACTTGCCCCAACTGTTCAGGGTTCGACCTCTGCGGTCGTATCAAGCTGCGCCCTGCGGAGCATTTTATTTTTCTAGGAGTTACGCCCCTTTGAACTTATTTACTTTAATGTACTACTGCAACAGTTTGTCATCGCAACTCCTCTCAAACCACACAACAGAATTTCATGAAACCTTTTCAGATAATAAGGACATACTACGTAGATGTGCATATCGACAGGAAATTACGATTCAATTTTTTTTCCAGGAGTTACTCCCCTTTGAACTTATTTGCCCAATATACTACTGCAACCTTTTGTCATCGCAACTCCTCTCAAACCACACAACAGAATTTCATGAAACCTTTTCAGATAATAAGGACATACTACGTAGATGTGCATATCGACAGGAAATTACGATTCAATTTTTATTCCAGGAGTTACTCCCCTTTGAACTTATTTGCCCAATATACTACTGCAACCTGTTGTCATCGCAACTCCTCTCAAACCACACAACAGAATTTCATGAAACCTTTTCAGATAATAAGGACATACTACGTAGATGTGCATATCGACAGGAAATCACGATTCAATTTTTTTCCAGGAGTTGCGCCCCTTTGAACTTATTTGCCCAATATACTACTGCAACCTGTTGTCATCGCAACTCCTCTCAAACCACACAACAGAATTTCATGAAACCTTTTCAGATAATAAGGACATACTACGTAGATGTGCATATCGACAGGAAATTACGATTCAATTTTTTTTCCAGGAGTTACGCCCGTTTGAACTTATTTGCCCAATTTACTTCTGCAACCTTTTGTCATCGCAATTTCTCTCAAACCACACAACAGAATTTCATGAAACCTTTTCAGATAATAAGGACATACTATGTAGATGTGCATATCGACAGGAAATTACGATTCAATTTTTTTCCAGGAGTTACTCCCCTTTGAACTTATTTGCCCAATATACTACTGCAACCTTTTGTCATCGCAACTCCTCTCAAACCACACAACAGAATTTCATGAAACTGTGTAGATAATAAGGACATACTATGTAGATGTGCATATTGACAGGAAATTATGATTCAATTTTTTTTTCTGATACAATTTTTGTTTCTTACACTTATTTTATTTCTCCAATGACAATGTGGGGACGTGGGGTATGTGAGCGCGCTCACTAAGGTTCTTTCATCATATCACATTAACTTAGTCTTCATGAATATGCATCCAATGTAGGGCCGGGTATAAAGTTTTTACCTGTCGGCCATTTTGGTTTCAGATAACTAAATCAAATACTTCTGTGGGATTGCCACCTAACTTTGGTGCATGATCAGAGGAAGATCCCTTTTCTTTTTGTGGTCACTGCGTCAAAGGTCAAGGATATAAATTATAAAAAAAGGACTAACATTTTTTTTATGCCACGGCTGTAGCGGTAGGAGCATTAAGTTTTACCCTTGTATGTCCGTACGTCCCAAAATTGGTTTCCGTTCTTTAACTTTAGTTTGCCTCAACCAAATGTTATGAAACTTATACACAATGCTTATTACCAAAAACACAGATCAAGTTCGAATTTTGGTGCATCACTTTTACCGTTCTAGAGTTATGCCCCTTTATAAATGGAAAAATTGCTGAATTTTTCATTTCCGTTCTCTTAACTTTAGTTTGCCTCAACCAAATGTTATGAAACTTATACACAATGCTTATTACCAAAAACACAGATCAAGTTCGAATTTTGGTGCATCACTTTTACCGTTCTAGAGTTATGCCCATTTACAAATGGAAAAATTGCTGAATTTTTCATTTCCGTTCTCTAACTTTAGTTTGCCTCAACCAAATGTTATGAAACTTATACACAATTCTTATTACCAAAAACACAGATCAAGTTCGAATTTTGGTGGCGTCACTTTTACCGTTCTAGAGTTATGCCCCTTTATAAATGGAAAAATTGCTGAATTTTTCATTTCTGTTCTCTTTAAGTTTGCCTCTATCAAATGTTATGAAACGTATACACAATGCTTACTTTGGTTGAGTCACTTTTACAGCTCTTGAGTTAAATCCCTTTTTAACGATATATGCAAGGGGGGGCATCATCTGTGTCCCATGGACACATTCCCCATTTATCTGGAAAAGGCTTTATGGATGCAAAATCAAATACAATATACGGGACTGCTACCTCGCTTGTATGAAGGGTCACATGATGAGTGGAGACGTACAACTGCTAGTCCTGCCTTGACAGTTAATTATATAGAGCATTTCATTTCTCAAGGCAGAATACCTGGATGCATCATGCCTTGTAAACAGATGCCTTACATGTATGTTAAGAAGTTTGTCATGTCGACCTAATTTTTATGGTTCAAAGAGGGCCTAAATAAACATTTTTATTTGTCATGTGAATATCTCACATATGAATAATATGATAACTATAGTTGGTACATGGAATCCTTACAAATTTATATGAAAATAGATGAGGTATCATTGCCAATGGACAACTATCCACCAGAGACCAAATGAAGAAGTAAGTCCAGCATACAAAAGTAACCTGAGGAGCCTATAAGATATGTCTAGGCTTAAGTTTTGTGATCAAGTCCATATTTCAAATGCTATAAATAAAGCATTGTCAAATATATTTGGTGTATGGAATGAATGCCAGGTGTACATGTAAATCTGACTGACCATATATATTTTCATGGTATTTTGGTACATGTTTACCGGTAGTTTTAGTGGTCTGGTCTTTTTCTTGGATACTATAAGTCTTAACTATATTTGGTGAACAAAGTGATTGTAAAAGAGGCGGAAGATACCAAAGGGACATTCAAAATCATAAGTCGAAAATAAACGACAACGCCATGGCTAAAAAAAAAAAAGACAAACAGACAAACAATAGTACACAAAACACAACATAGAAAACTAAAGACTGAGCAACACGAACCCCACAAAAAACGAGTGATCTCCGGTGCTCCGGAAGGGTAAGCAGATCAAGGTGCTTGTGTCTATCTGGCATGGTTGCTCTGACCTTGAACTAATTTTTATGGTTTCTAGCTCAAAGTTGAGTTTTTATGGAGACTATTTTTATGCCCTATATTTTAGCAATAGGTCAACTATATTTGATGTATGGAATGATTGTAAAGTGAACATATCTGCCTGGCAAAGTTAATCTGACCCTTGACCTCGTTTTCATGGTTCATTGTCAATGTTAAGTTTTCCTGGTTACATCTGTTTTATGGATACTATACTGTGGATTCATTTTTATTTGTGGTATACCAATTTTCGTGGGTCACAGCGAACCACGTATTTAAGAATTCAACGAAGAATAATCCAGAGAAATGTGTATGGAGTCGGATGTTTATTTCCGGTTATGTTATGCAGTTCAAGTATAGTGTTGACTAGCGATAAACATTGTAACATAACACGTGTTTTTATTGAAAGAAGATACAAGTATTTTGATTAAATCAATAATAAATATCGAATATCAGTGATAATTTACTTTTTGAAATTTTGAAAAACTGTTCATGGAAAATAACTGCAAGTTGTTAATTACCGTGTCATAGTTTGGTTTACTGGTGATAAAAAATCAATAGGATTAAGTACGGGGATATTGCCCGTAGGTAATATTGTTTATGACAGGAACATTTATTTTCACACCTTTTACTTATATGACTGTTTATTATATCGTGATTAGGGAAATGAACTTTCAATCATAGAGTTTTGAATGCCTTATAAAATTCCGACAAGAATTTATAAATTGTAAAACAAACAAATAATTAGTTGTCTCTGTCCATTATTGTAATAGAAGTTTTCAATGAACACTTTAACCTAGAATGACCAAGCGAGGATTTTGACAATTCAAAACTTTTTCAATGAATTCCTTCTTTTTTGTTTGTTTTATTATTGATCAAACCAAGGAGGTTATATGATCTCCAAAATCAAAAAGAAATCCACGAATTACGTATCTGATTTTTTTTTTTTTTTTTTTTGTAATCAGCGATCCACGAATTTACGTATACCAAGAAACATTGTTTTTTCTCTATCCACGAAAATTGATACCCACGAAAATAAATGATTCCACAGTAATTGATGTATGGAATGATTGCAAGGGGTACATATCTGCCTGGCAGGGTCAACTGATCTTGATTATGATAAGCTGGTACATAATATAGTGATGCTATTCCCAGTGTCAAGTTTATATGATACTTCTTGTAAAACCTTTTATCTTTTCAACACAACTTCAATCTTAATCAGTAAAGCAGGTGAGACATTTCAGCATGTGCACTCTTGTTATGATATGACATTGAAGCCAAACATTAGAAATCTGTTTTTCTAAAATCTGCCAAACAAGTCCAACACCATGCATACCAAAACTAATCTGTGTTCATGATTAACTACATAATCACAAAAGGTTATTGTGTCACATTTAATAAATTATCAAAGATAAAATTGCACATTCTCCATATTTTCAGAAAATCGTTAATTTTTTGTGGTTTGATCTTTTGGTCTGGTGATTTTGCATTGTCTGTTCAGAAAGTTTAAGTTTCTGTAAATATTCTTCTTTGGCAGATATTTTCTGTTTTATCACATTGGCTACACCTTTATCCCTGAAACAACAATGTGGCATGGTTAAGTAATGTCTATATCTAAATAAAATAAAACCAGATCTCATCTAAATATAGTTTAATCAGCCAGGAAAGTGTGTTACTGACACAGCTTTTTAAAAAAGATTCCCCTACAATGCAAGTGTTTGTAATGTACATTTTGATTGGATAATGCTACACATTTGAATTTCAGGTACTAAATTCCATAATTCATGGTCTGAAATTACAGACGTAGCATATATGGAAGTGATCTTAAAATGTCTCATTTAACCATGCTTACTTACAGTTGTATTATAATTTGAGATTATAGTATTGGATAGTTTTCGATTGACATAATATGAGCAAGAGTTATTTCCCTGTTGGAGGTCTACATGCACAAATTCTTTCATGAATCTGCCAAATTCAATTTGTTATACTGACAGTTTGATTTAATAAAACATTGCAATTTGGTCAGGATTTTTGATTAACTGCAACAGATGGATAGAAACACTTGTAGTCGCAGTAACAAGCAGATACAATTTGGGATTAAAGTTTGTTAAACATCAATTACTTGTCAAAACTTCATACAATTTTATGAAACTTTGGCTAAAACTTTTTCATGATTAAGATATAATTGGTCTGAAACAAAATTTTGAAAATTCATTTTTTGATATTTAAGTATTTAACTGATAGATGAACTTGGTTTTTTTTAGCATTTACAAACAGAAGGTGATTATATTTTTTTGACACAATACATTTGAAAACCATCATGGATATATAATGAAACTTGAACAGAAGCTAATCTTCAAGATTAAGAAATGGCATCTAAACAAAAAGTTGAATAAGTTTTATTAATCTGTATTTTACTTATAAATGGACTCATTTTTTACAGTCAACATTACGCTTCTGCACTGACAGCAGCAATAACAGACAAGACACATGGTTCTGCAGAAACCCTTTAAAAAAATTCCTTTCAAGGGTGTACAGCACTAGTATACTTGAAGGGACAAATACACATCTTCTAGTATTGCTTATTTTTAGCCTTTATGAATGTGTTCATAGATGGATACAATGCTGAACCAACTTTTTAAAAAAAATTCTAGTGATACTATAGTTATCTTGACCTTTTATCTTCCATCTGTATGTATACGTTTCATTTCAATCAAAGAAGGAAAACTTTTTTCACATTTTTCTTTTTTTTCAAAATCAATAGATAGGTTTCTCCCCCTACATGTATCTTTCATTTGTATAAGTTTCATTGACATTCCAATCAAGTAAGGGATACTCCAGTTACCATTCGGCTACCATTTTTCCAAAAAGTTTTTAGAACCAATTGACCTTGAACTTTGACATATTGACCACAACAGCAATATGATTTTTCCCTTGGATAAGGTTCAATCCAATTAGGCAAGGGATAATCAATTTATCATCCAGATACCATTTGTTTTGGACCCAGGGAAGGACGGATGGACAAAGTGATTACTATATGATTAAGAAATTTTATTGGGAACTAATAAGGGTCTGGTATTCAATAACTCAGTAATATTATCACAAGAAAATGATTCCTTGCTGATGCAAAGTGACATTTTTTTCAACATTTTTAATATGCTGAAACAAGATTTATAAGGACATAAAAGTGATATTTAGTTGTTTAATTACGTGAGGTTATAAGATTGAAGACCGGAGAAAAAAACTGCATGAGTATCATTGGAAATATCACTTTGTGGTTACAAAGATATATGTACTTACTTATTTTCATTTCTTGAGAGTGACTGTTTTAATCTAGATATCTCTTTTTCCACATTCTTCATTTCTTCATGTGTTTTGAATATCTACAATACAAACTAACATGTGTTTTAGCATGTTTAAATCTACTATGGCAGAAGAGGAAATATACAACACATAGCAGTATGACACGTATGACACCCATAATGATGAAAATGTAAATGTACAAAATTTGACATTTAATTCAGTTTATTATGGTATCTGGAAATGTTCCATTTTCAAGAATCCTTGCAACAACTCGTTCTGTAGATGGCATGTTGCAAAGCTATAATTCTACTCTTTCCTACATTTTTTTTCATTGGCAGTCAACATTTTCAGCCTTTCATCAGGATCAACCTCAACTTTGCAGAACTTATATTTTGCATTTTGTTAATGTAAAATTTTTGGCATATATTTTGTTCTGTAAATATCTAGTAGTATAGTTAGATTTTTTATATTCACCAATCAAGGGGCATTGGTAAATTCATGCCATTATTATTGTTAAAAAAGAGATACATCATGAGAATAATTTACCGTGACAAATTAAATACATAAAATAAAGAGACAATTTAAGTCTATGTCAAGACAAGATGGTTACACCAATGATAACATTCTGAAGTTTTAAATCCTACTAGCTGCAGAGATTACTACCCTACACACCAAAGGCGTACAAGGGTAGTAAGTAAGCTCAAAGATTGCAAAAAAGCACCAGACACTCAAAAATCAGTAATCATGTATAATTGTTCATCAAAACTATGCATGTAAAAGTCATATAAATTTTGTAAATAAGCATGTTTTAAGCCTACCCTACCTGGACATTAATATTTCTGTCACTTCTTTTTGAAAGATCATTCTCTGTTATTTCTTTTGTTGGTTCACTCCGTTTCTTATGATTGATGTGAACATGATGGTCAGGAATCAGTTCCTTTATATCACCTAAGATAGAAAATAAACAGAAATACTAGAACAAAGATTTTACTCAATGTTATCAAAAATACAGCCACCGATATTAGAGTGTACATGCTTTCATATAAGCAGGTAGGTACTTTGAGCTTGCTTTAAGTAACTATGATCATTCTATGATCCAGTCTAGTTTTTAATTGTTCTTGTGTTTTTGAGTCTCTTAAATTTATCCCATACTTTTTATTGTTGACCTTAGATGAGTTTTGATTACTTGTGTTGCCGACTCCTTGATTTATACCCCACATCACCCCCTGTTAATACATTATTAAAATATGATATTAGAACACTAACACCATGAATCACAGTTCAAGTACACCTAGTATACAATAGGCACCAACCATTCATTTTTTTGGGGGTGGGGCTGCATTGGTTAACGAGACCAATTATAATTAAAATAAATGGGGAATGTGTCCATGGGACACAGATGATGCCCCAGCTTGCATATAACGTTATAAAGGGACATAACTCAAGAACTGTAAAGGTGAAGCTACCCAAATTTGTACTTGATCTGAGTTTTGTGGTAACAAGCATTCTTTATAAGTTTCATAACATTTGGTTGAGGCAAACTTAAGTTAGAGAACGGAAATGTAAAAATTCAGCAATTTTTCCATTTGTAAAGGGGTATAACTCTAGAACGGTAAAAGCGACACCACCAAAATTCAAACTTGATCTGTGTTTTGTGGTAATAAGCATTGTCTATAAGTTTCATAACTTTTTGTTGAGGCAAACTAAAGTTAAAGAACGGAAACGAAAAATTCTGCAATTTTTCCATTTGTAAATGGGCATAACTCTAGAACGGTAAAAGTGACGCCACCAAAATTCAAAATTGATCTGTGTTTTGTGGTAATAAGCATTATGTATAAATTTCATAACATGTGGTTGAGGCAAACTAAAGTTAGAGAACGGGACGTACGTAAGTGCGTACGTACAGACGGACAAGGGTAACAATTAATGCCCCCTCCCCTACGGCGGGGGCATAAAAAGTCTCAATATTGTAAGGAACACGAATTTTTTTTTAATCTCAATGTTGAACAATTTTCATTTCTAGATTTTAATGAATTAACAATATTTTCAGTACTGTATCAACTTTGCTACGAGGTGTTAGACATTTCTTAAGGGAGACCAAAACGTTCAGTTTGTTAATGATTAATTTTCATTGGCAATTAAGAACCGCCAAACACGCAAGAACAATAGAAAGAAAGAACACAAACCAACATCTGACCAAGTTTATCTGCGTAATATTTTCTGTATAAGGAAACGAGGTCAATGTTTTCTTTTCAACTGAACGCTGTTTGCAGATGGGACGTAAACATATCTTGACATTATATTGTACATATTAATGTGGGTCTCATTGGGGTATAAGCGTGATGCGGGATTGCCGATTTTTTGTAAGCGTGACACGTGAAAGTCAAATTATTGTGCCGTGAAAACGGGAAATGAAGTCTAGCGGGATACGGTAAATCACAAACAAGAGTGCACACGCTGAAATGTCTCGCCTTCTTTACTTACCATTGATTTTATGTTGATAGTCCTAAATACAAAGCTTTACTACAAGTAACACAAAACTTAACATGATCCAAGAAAATGAGGTAAAGGTCAGATAAACCAAACGAGAAATACATGTACACCTTACAATCATTCAATAAACCAAACATAGTTGACATATTGCTTATTGTTTCTAAGAAACAGTCTTAAACAAGAAAACTTAACATTGACCAATGGCCAATGAAAATGAGGTCAAGGTCAGATGAACCATACCAGACAGACATGTACACCTTACAATCAATTTAGGCATTAAATATAATTGACCTATTGCTTATAGTATCTAAAAAACAAACTTAACCATGAAAACTTAACATTGACCAATGAACCATGAAAATGAGGTCAAGGTCAGATGATACCTGCCAGACAGACATATACACCTTACAATCCTTCCATACATCAAATATAGTTGATCTATTGCTTATAGTTGAAGAAAAACAGACCAAAACACAAAAACTTAACACTGAGAAATGAACCGTGAAAATGAGGTCAAGGTCAAATAAAACCTGTGAGACTGACATGTACATCATAAAATATTTCCATACACCATTTATAGTTGACCTATTGCATATAGTATTAGAAAAAAAGACCAAAACTCAAAAACTTAACTTTGACCACTGAACCATGAAAATGAGGTCAAGGTCAGATGACACCTACCAGTTGTACATGTACACCTTACAATCATTCCATATACTAAATATAGTAGACCTACTGCTTATAGTATCTGATATATGGACTTGACCACGAAATTAACCTTGTTCACTGATCCATGAAATGAGGTCGAGGTCAAATGAAAATTGTCTGACGGGCATGAGGACCTTGCAAGGTACGCACATACTAAATATAGTTATCATATTACTCATAATAAGAAAGAAATTAACATTACAAAAAATGTTGACTTTTTTTTTCAAGTAGTCATTGAACCATGAAAATGAGGTCAAGGACAATGGACATACGACAGACGGAAACTTCGTAACATTAGGCATCTATATACAAAGTATGAAGCATCCAGGAAGGCATCTATATACAAAGTATGAAGCATCCAGGTCTTCTAGCTTCTAAAATATAAAGCTTTTAAGAAGTTAGCTAACGCTTCCACCGCCGCCGCCACCGCCGGATCACTATCCCTATTTCGAGCTTTCTGAGACAAAAGTCGCAGGCTCGACAAAAAATGAGAATTGTTTACGTACATAGTGTAAGCGGGATACGGGAATCTGTCAAAACAGTAAGCGGAATCCGGGATCAGAACCCCCCAATGAGACCCCCATTAATTACGGTTGAGTAAAATCACAGTGTAATAATAAATTGATTTCCAAAAGATATTTTCATTCCAAGCTTTTAACATGTAATAAAAACAGATTATGACTTTCATGATACATTTACATAATTTCTCCCACAAAGGTAACAATGATAATGCATTATGTTTGTTAAAAGTTGATATAACGGTTTATCACCGAATTTTATATTCAAATCAAAGTCATGTATCGTATTTTAGAACATAAAGGACACACCATTCGTCTTGATAAACTAATAAATATTATTCAACTGAACAACTTTGAAATTATATAGTGTTACGTGTAATATTTAAGCATAAACACCCATCAGAGGCGCATCATTAAAATGTTTTAATTTCTATTTGTCTGTCTTTGAGAAAGCCATCGATAATACCAGACAAAACTTTGCCGCTGTACTATGTCGTATTATTTTCAAATAATCGTGAACAACGCTAATGTTGTTCACTACACGTCGTTCAACCGACTCAAAGATAAAACTTATAACAATAATTACCAAAGAAGGAGTAGAAACACTACAAAGTTATGGTAATTATCTAAAATAAATTAACACGAAAATCTGTCATTAGCAAATTTTCTTTGTGAACTAAAGGCATCAAAAAGCTTGCAAAGCTAAATCTGTACATATGCATAATGTAGACTACTGTTGTTTAACGGTTGAAGGGCAAAAAAATGCAAAAAAGACTTTATCAACTGAATAAGGGTTCCACGAAACCCTACTTCGTCAACTTGGTGTAGGGTTAGTGTGGATATATTTACACAATAAAAGTGCTGAAACATTTAGCACAAAAAATCAGACATAATGTTGCAACCATTTCTTACATATACCTCCCCAATAATAGTAATACAAGAAACCCTCCCTAGAGCCCAATTCCTTCACAATTTGCTTGGTCTTATGGTAGTAATTCTGGCATGTCAATCAGAACATAGCAGTTAAGTTAAATATAACTACTCGTCACAATTAAATATTTGTATCAAAAATACCCGCAAAAGTCCAGTTGGTAAATGAGCTGAAACTTCTTTTCCTGTTTTGTTTTTAGTCAAATCACGGAAACTTGAAACCCTTAAGATGTTGAGGCAATAGGTTTGATTTAAGTATGGCTGGTAGTTTAAAACGAAATATATTTTTGAAAGTTTATAAACAATTAAAGTGACGGAAGCCAAATGATGGCAGCAGCTTACACTGACTATTTTGACTACTAGTATTTTAATAAAGTAACACTATTTACCTGTAATCTTTATTTATTATATAAGAGGAATGCCATGCAGCTACTAGTGGTGTCATGAGTTACCGTGTAACTTATACTATCTATTTAGCGGTGATTTTAATAATCCCTTTTGTATGTTTTTAAAAATATACTTCAAAGTAGACATTTTATATGTCTTGATATGACTGACCAAACATCCACAAAATGTTTCTTCGTACGTAATCGTTTTAAAAATATTCCAAACTCTCCCGGACAAACAGATTCATTCAATTTGATTTATTTATTATGATCTTATTTATGTTGTATCATCACCTTAATTTATGGAAATCTATATCCAACACTGCTGAAAGCAACGAACCGTGAAGAAAAATTGATTATTCTTACTCGGAAGTTAATGTCACAGCAGTCCATGTAAAAAGATTAGCATTAGAATGAATCGTCTGAAGCAAAAAAGGTCGGCATATTTTTGTCCCAGGTTACAGTCCACACAACTATAGCTGGGAAGGATTGTTGTGTGCATGTGTTTAGTAGATCGACATATTTTGTCCCAGGTTGCAATCCACACAACTATAGCTGTGAAGGATTATTGTGAGCAGGTGTTTAGTAATATTTTATTAGAATTCAAGAAATTATCGCTTAAAGCAGCTTCAAAGATGGACAGAACCTATTTGGATTAAATAAATAATACATTTCACAACGATAACCAACGGGTATAATAGCATTTTCTTCATTGATTTTGAAATGGTAATATTCCAATATATATTTCCATTGATATGTTTCCAGACCGATTCACTGACAGATTATTTATTGATTAGCTATACGAAGGAAATACAGACTAGAAAATATGCAAAATACTGCAGTGCAAAATTACTCGATTCTAACCCAAGCACCAGGTATAATTTCAAGGTAAGTTTTAATAATTTTAAAGCCACACCATATCTGAAAGATTTGTAGTCTACCTAGTGTTGCTTGGGTTTCATTGCCCCACATCTATTTTAATTAATATAAAAGAAGAACAGGTGCACACGCTGAAATATCTCGCCTGTTTTACTGACCATTGATTTTATGTTAAAAGTCTTAAAGATAAAGGTTTTTTCTACAAGTATTACATAAACTTAACATTTTTAAAGATCCACGACAATGAGGTCATGGTCAGATAAAAACTGCCACAAAAACATGTACACCTTACAATTATTCCATACACCAAATATAGCTGACCCATTGGTTATGTTAATTGAAAAACAGACCAAACACAAAACCTTAATGTAAACCAATGAACAATGGAAATGAGGTCAAGGTCAGATGATACTGGCTAGACAGACATGTACACCTTACAATCATTCCATACACCAATTATAGTTGACCTATTGCTATTAGTATTTGAAAAACAGATCAAAATACAAAAACTTAACAATGACCAATGAAATATGAAAATGAGGTCAAGGTCAGATGACACCGGCTAGACAGACATGTTCCCCTTTAAAATCATTCCATACACCACATATAGTTGACCTGTTACTTGTAGTATCTGAGAAACGGACCTAATCACGTAACTTTAACCTTGATCACTGATCCATGAATTGAGGTCGAGGTCAGGTTAACCCTGTCTGACGGACAATTAGACGTTACAAGGAACCCATATACCAAATATAGTTAACCTATTACTCATAATAAGTGAGTAATTCACATGACAAAAAAACTGTAATTTTTTTCAAGCAGTCACTGAACAATGAAAATGAGGTCAAGGACAATGGGCATATAACAGGCGGAAACTTCGTAACATAAGGTATCTGCATACAAGGTATGAAGCATCCAGGTCTTCTACCTTCTGAAATATAAAGCTTTATACAAATAGTTAACGCCGCCGCCGCCGGATAGTAATAACTATGTCTCGCATACTGCGACTTAGGCGAGACAAAAACAACGTTTAGTCCTACGAACTTCAGAAATCAAGTTTAATCCTGGTTTTATATTCCGAACTTAACGTTAACATCGCGGGGATTCCGACTCACATAAAGACTTGGATGTTCTGTAATGTCTTCTTCTCCCAAGTTGTTATTCAACATTTAGTTTGTCAAAATTTAGAATGTAAGCACTCCTTGATACTTGTAGTTGCAGATTCATTATTATACATGCTATAACTTGGTATTAATCTCTATATGTGTCGATTATAATTTCGAGTTTATAGGCCTGTGAGGTGTAAAAAAGTTTTATACCCAATTAAAGTGGCTACGCAGTGATTAAGCTCTTTCGTCCCGCGTTTTGAGCCAACTTTGACCAAGATTATAAAAAAAAGAGCAGTGTTCTGGAATTCAATAAAGAGACAACGCATCATTGTGACTCAAAACAGACACACTGATAATTCGTCGTATGCCTACCCTTCATGCATATTATTTTGTTTTACTTTTTAACCATATTACGTAAATCAATGTCTAAACTTCTCACTCGATCATTTATTTGAGGTGACTCGCGTCTGTTGAAAACATTTTTAACATTAAACTTTTGCACTTTACTATTAAGTTATATCCTGAACATGAATCATTCATATAATATTAGATTACATAACAGTATAATTTTCTGAACAACTGCAGACAAAATCGATAGTGTTACATACATATTACACGATTTATCTAGGAAAGTGTCTTTTCTAACAGATAGTATCTTAAAAGTTATATCCATAACATTTAAACAGCCAAATGGAATTTTCTTACTTTTTGGATTTTTATGTTTCCAATGTATTTTATCTTCGTAATTGATTTGGCCTTCTAACTGGTTTGATTCGAGGGAAAATGTTGAGTCTTATGTAGACGAAACGCGCGTAAAGTGCACTAAATTATAAGCCGAGTATCTCTGATGAGTTTAACCATATTGTTGTAAAAAATAATTTGTCAAGATATCCAAAAATGATGTTATGCTTTTGCATATTAAAATGCATTTTGAAAATATGAATATGTAAAATATGCAAGTTCCTTTTAAAGAAATCAGTATTGGAAATCTTGAAATCTTTAAATGTAAATGAAAGACCGTATCCAAAATGAGTAAAGATATAATATCGTTCACAATTCATCTAATTATTATCATTAACTACTTGGTTGCATGGTCTTTATTTTACAGGAACTTGAATGATGACGTCTAATGTGAAAAGACAAATTCCAGAGCTGCTCGCATCTTTAGGAAACACTGGAGTTTCATCTCATAATTTGCCACTGTCCCATTCAATATGTTGTAAGCTGTGCCTTAGTATATTCAATCATCCAAAAGTTTTGCCTTGTCTTCATAGTTTTTGCCTCGGTTGTTTACAGGCTTATATTCACAAATCACCCGAAAATGTTCAAGAGCGAAAGCTTCTTTGTCCAATATGTCAGGAATGTAACAAATTACCAGGAACAGGAGTAAAAGGTCTGCTCGATAACACAGTTATAGAACAGTCTATCATCAGTAATGTGCCGACATTATCACTACGTAAGAAACAAGAACCACTCTTTCCAGGCTTGTATTCCGATTCAGAAGATAGCTATGAAGTCTTAGTGAAGAAGGCAAATCCAAAGGCAAACAATGAAGATGACGTTTATGATGAATATTCAGATACTGGAAATATACAATGGCAGAATTTTATTCAGCGTCAGAAATCGGCCGAATTTGAAACAACTGATTGTGAAATTAAGAAACCTATTAATATATCGGAAGCATTAAAGGGTCTTTCTGATGAAGAGAGATTAGAAAGACTAACCGATAGTTTGAAGAATACATTCAGTTTCTCACAAGCTTTACAGGAGCACGAATTTATTTTAGAAAACGAAGTCCGAGCACTAAGAACACCATCGTCTTCCTCCGAATATTCTTTTACACAGCGAGACTTTTTACAAGACCAACTGTCATGTTTACAAACAGAGGCTATGAATATCATCTATCGTTTGGATGGTATAAGTGCTTCAGGTGATACGTGGGAGAGAAGCAGAGTAAGAATCGAACAACAAATTCATACTCAAATAGAGCAACTGATCGCCACGATACGCCAGGCAGAAAGGAAATTATTAAATCAGATTGATTCTTACGGTGAACAACACGCCTCAATTAATCCTGTTTCTGAAGGCAAGCAACAATTGCAATCGCTTTTGAAAAATATACTTGGTGTGATAGACTTCATTCGATTGGTTTTAAATTACGGCTGTGGTAGGGGAACAGAACAATATGAAAAGCTCGTTGCTGATCGGTGTGAACAAATTTTAAGCAAAACAGTTGCTGTAGAGAAAACAGAATTGTCTTTTGCACCTGGGCAAATACTTGAAGAGGAGTTGGATAAACTTTTAGGTTTTTTGACATTTACCACTACTCAGGATGAAATATGGAAGTTTAGAGATAATGAAACAAATGATGATAGTATTGCGACTGCTGATTCTGCAATTGGCGACTTGAAGCATGAAAATGATAGGCACCAAGAAAGAATTTTACCTCCGAGTTTTTCTCGCGAATTTCTTCAGAATGAAAATTTACTAACAGAAAATGGTCAATCGTTCACTCCAGATTCACTGGCTGATGATCAAGAACACCAGCGACTTACAGTTGATCAACTTATTCATAAATTTTCTACAGAATTTGGAATGCGGTATAGCGAAATCTTGCCAGATGATAATAGTTCTACTCCAATGACAAACAGCATGACATCCGAAAACCCTATGCATTCTCCAATACCAGAGGAATCAAATGGTAACGGCATCGAATCAGAAATCCAGTCAATAAAAACACGATACCGTCCAAGAAGTTCAAAACGACGTCATTCTGTAAGTGATGTTCAACAAGATTTGGCACACTCTAGAATAGATTTGTCTGATAACCGCTACAGAGGCTTAGTTAGAGACAGAAAATCATCAATTCCATATTGTGATATTATGACGAAAACTTTAAATGAAAGACCACTATCAAACGACCTCGAGCAAACGAAGCGTATTCTTGCTCTGTGCAAACGACAGCTTCTAGAAGCCAAAAGCATGGGAATATACAAAAATAGAGCTGGAACATCTCCACAATCCTCTGTGACTTCACCAGAAAGCAAAATGACTCGATCGATGTCTGTGTCACAAGAAAACACACCTCCTTTATCTTCCTCGGAACATAAACTTCCGCGTTCAAGATCTGTATCACATGATCGTTCACCATTGTCTTCCCCTGAACATACTAGAATTGCACGTTCTTTGTCACGTGACTATGTTCAGCGTATACGAAAACGACTTGGGATGGAAAAACCAACTATGCATTCAGACGGTTCGGAACATGATTCATGATGCTGAAATCGTAATATTACACTAAGGAGAACTTTTAGATAAGTCTAAAATGTTATTGTGAAATTATACCATCTCGGTCATATTCATTCTAACATTTTGTGCTCCGCTCAAATATATTCTAACTTGCTGTGTTAGTTGAGAAAATCCGATTATAATGGGATACAGTATAATAATGTCAGTCTTGTGATATTGCTTGCTGACAGAGCTACTTATTAATTATATAAGAACTCATCAACGATACCTAGCTTATAAACATGCTGCTAAGTTTATAATATTCTAAGCACAATTGTTCCTAAGTACATAGCTTTCAGGGTATCTTTATCTAATAAATAAGACATAATTTTCTATGATATTTCATATTTAGTACAAATGCAATTATAATTTCTTGTTATTTAATTATTTTAAAGAAATATCAAACGTGAAGTATATTAAATTAATTCTTTAATAAGATTTAAAATTAGCAAAACACTATATAATATAATATATCAATCAGTCAGTCTCAATAAGCCGGGTTACAATATTTGTCACTAATCAACATAGAATTAATGTTTACAATGTAGTTGCAACTGCATAAAAGTTGTCAGTTTTGCTGGAAAATAACTACATGTGATTTCCCAATTCCGATGACAGCAGATGCACAATTTCAACATGTGTGCAATCTTCCTGTGAAGTTTCACGGATTTGAGTTGAAAACTGTAGGAGAAGTTGACTACACAAAACTTACACCCTTTTTCAATGTTTTTCATAATTTGTTCTTGAAAAATTACTAAGTTCCCAAGCCTTGAAAAATAAGAAAAAAAACTTCGGACAATTCCATATTAGCAAGTGCATAAGTTCAACATATGTGTAGTCTTCCTGTGAAGTTTCAGGGATCTCGGTTGAAAACTGTAGGAGTTGAATACACAAATTATGTATCCACTGTTCCCCACCCACCTATCCGTCTGCTCGCCCTCCCGCCAACATCACCATACTAGAAGCTGGTTTTGGACTTCGTCCAACCCGGTTAGATAAGAAATTGAAAGACTGAAAATCACTGGTTTCTTTTTAAAAAGAAGATATGAAACAATTATGACCAAATGCAAACCTTTATAAAATCATATAAGCAAATTTTCAACTTTGTTTAAGGTCATACGTCATATAAATGTTGCCAAAGTATTAGAACTATGTCACTGGTTTGTAAAGGGTAGAAAAAAGTATATAAGTTCTTTTACTTGTAACAAACATCTTGTGGGTATATTACAAACCAAAATAGAACAGTCCACACACGGAACAACATCCAGTAACAGCTTTAGTGAACCATGAGTATTTTTTTTAAATTGCTTTTGAAGCTTAAACCTTAAAAGGAGAAGATACCATTGGGCCAATTTAAACCATATGTCGAGGAAAAACAGACAACACTAATGTCAAAAGAAAAAGAACGAAAAGACAAACAGACACACAATACAGTACACAAAAAACTAAAGATAAGAAACATGAATTCCAAAAACCGGGAACGAACTCGGGTTCTCCAGAATGGTCGATAGTTTCTACTCTACTAGTGACACCACATTGTTACTCCTATTCAACTACACTGATGATACACATCAATTGATTTCATATAATACTAAATGTGGACTGGTGATTTCATATAATACTAATAGCGGACTGGTGATTGTCTCTTGTCTAATCTTAATATATCACCAAATGCATACACCGATTGTTTCCTAAATTTAATTCATGATCGTATTAGACAATTGACAATAACATTTTTTCAGAACAAAGGATATACAATACTGCTACCTGTAAAACAAAGCAGACATGAAAAAACATAGCACAGAATATAAAACTTACAACTAAAGCAATAGCCCATTTAAAACAAAAGTAGTAATGAGGTCAGATCCGGAAGGATGCACAGTTCCTTCCCTACACTACACACTATTTGATCAAGCAAGTCGATTTGGAATTCAGTAGAAAAACAAAGGATATTGGGTATCATTCTTTGACACAAAATCATTACATGCACAGCGAAAATCACACAAGCAGGTATTCCAAAGATATGGCAGGAATACCATTTTAACCTGCCTTCGAAATATTACTTTGGTGCTAGAAATGACTTATCCTTGAGTAAAGAGAACAATTAATTTTACTTGGATCCTAGCAATCATTAGGGTAATTCATTTAAATACATGTGAATTATACGTTAACATCTCTACTATGCCATTATGATATTGATTCAAGCAGACACTATACAGGTATAGCCCAAACTTGTTGCAATAACTTGGTAAAATTTGTAAATGTGCACCATCAATGGGAGGGAGACAGTATAAAAAAGGTTAACAATTAAATGTGATGAAATCAGAATCTTGTTCATACAATATACATAAAATGACTTGGATGAAATACATCTGACTAGAGACAGTTAAAGAACAGTGGTAAAAGACAGACAATTTTAAACCAATCATTTTTTCTTAGATTTTTTTGGCAAATGGGTCAAAGACATAAATGGCTTATTTGCAATACTTATGCTCCACGAAACCTCTTTCTAAATTATCAACATCAATCTTATCAGCAATCAAAGCCGGGCTTCAAAGTTATTGTGAAACTACCTATTCTAGAGGTGATGTGGATACTTAAAAATTCTTTTAGAGTACATACAATCTAAGACTCTTTCATCTTGCAATAGTATTAAAACATTTGACTTTTCTACACTTTACACAAGTATTCCCCATTCCAATATAAAAGACAAATTGAAAGAGTTGGTCCAGCTTTGTTTCATAAAAAAGAATGGCCAACGTAGATACAAGTATCTTGTCTTAGGGAGGGATACATCTACTTTGTAAAAAAATCACTCTGATTCAACAAAAATTCTCTGAAACTGACATTATCAAGATGCTTGATTTCTTGATTGACAACATATTTGTTACGTTTGGAGGACGTGTTTTTCAACAAACAATCGTCATTCCCATGGGAACCAACTGTGCCCCTCTTCTTGCTGACTTGTTCCTTTATTCATACGAGGCTGACTTCATACAAGAACTTCTTAAGAAGAAAGAAAAGAAGTTAGCAGTATCCTTTAACTTTACTTTCCGCTACATAAATGATGTTCTCTCACTAAATAATTCAAAATTTGGTGACTATGTTGAACGAATCTATCCCATCCAATTTGAGATAAAGGATACAAGAGATACAGATAAGTCTGCCTCATATCTTGACTACAACTAGAAATTGACAATGAGGGTCGGTTGAAAACAAAACTTTATGACATAAGAGATGATTTCAGCTGCCCAATTGGGAACTTTCCATTTTTCAGTAGCAACATTCCAGCAGAGCCTGCATACGGAGTATAATATCTCCCAGTTGATACGATACTACAGGGCTTGTATTTCCTATCATGATTTCCTTGATAAAGAGTTGCTGCTCACAAGGAAGCTATAAAACCAAGAGTTCCAAGTGGTGAAGTTGAAATCATCGAGTTGGTTGACCGTTACGGAATATCCCTTTCACAGATGATAGCGGATATGTTCATAATGTCGTAACTACAATCCCGTCCCCTTTTCCCGAATGTGACCTACGGAATTAGACTTATTACAGGGTTTGTACTAACATGAGCAACACGACGGGTGCCACATGTGGAGCAGGATCTGCCTACCCTTCTAGAGCACCTGAGATCACCCCCAGTTTTTTTGTGTTGCTCAGTCTTTAGTTTTCTATGTTGTGTTTTGTGTACTTTTGTTTGTCTGTTGGTCTTTTTCTTGTTTAGCCATGGCGTTGTTAGTTTATTTTCGAATTATGAGTTTGAATGTCCCTTTGGTATCTTTCGCCTCTCTTTTATTGTTTCTAGTTTTAAAGGTCAAATAAATGACTTTATTTGATATGCTGTTGAAAGCATGAATTGAATGTAAGTTAGAATTATAGATTATCGATGGTATTTCAAAAGAGAGGGGTTTTCTCAGCAAAATGACAAAGTCTTACACACTGTGAGATGCACATAACAAATTGTAGAACGTTTGAAGATTCTGGGTTGAGTATTGAGGTTTTTTATTATATGACTATAAAAGTTCTCTTTTCTCATTGGCTAACAACATGGGGAGCCTTCTTTGATGAAACATTATATTCACTGCGGGAAAAATCATGAGAGGTTTATATAAGATTTGGAACAGCGAACATGTATCTATAAATAGTTTTTCCTAGGCAACTTTATTTAGTATAAAAGGAGCAGTTAAATATCTTAAGTAAATACTAATAAAATGCTTCGCTGGGGCGCAGCTTGATACGACCGCAGAGGTCGAACCCTGAACAGTTTGGGCAAGTATGGACACAAAATTCAAGCTTGATACAGCTATGACTTTGGATTGTCATTAAATATTTGACACAGCATAGGTTTCTGACACAGGATGAATGTGGTGTAAGAACTGGAAAAAATTTAATTTACCTATTATGGTGGAATCTCCATAAACTAAATTGTTTGTTAATTTCAATATATCAAAGAATATGTAGAATTCAATGTTTGATGTAATGTAATAAAGTTGAAATTTGGACCGTTTTTGTTCAATGTGGACCAATTTGGTAACATGTATAAATAATCAAAAATCTAAATACATGGGAGCCCATTTAAATACATCATAAAGGTATTAAAATAGAAAGTGACATCATAGTCATGGCTAAAAATAAACAAAAATCCTTAATCAGCAACATTTAAAGTAATATCTAAAAATAAAATTCCTTTGTAACCATAAAAGCCCATTTAAATACATCATAAAGATATTAAAATAGAAAATGACATCATAGTCATGGCTAAACATAGCAAAAAACCCTTAATCAGCATCATTTAACAGTAATATCTAAAAATGGAAATTACATCATAAAGGTATTAAAATAGAAAATGACATCATAGTCATGGCTAAAAATAAACAAAATCCTTAATCAGCATTAGCAACATTTTATAGTAATATCTAAAAATAAAATTCCTTTGTAACCATAAAAGCCCATTTAAATACATCATAACAGATATTAAAATAGAAAATGACATCATAGTCATGGCTAAACATAGCAAAAACCTTAATCAGCATCATTTAACAGTAATATCTAAAAATAAAAATTTCTTTGCAACCATAAAAGTAAAATAGAAAATGACATAATCATAGCTAAAAATAAACAAAATTTTTTTTTATTGGCAAATTTTAAATGGAGTTTATTATACTAAAACAATAAATTTGCAACCATAAACATGATAAAACCCCATTTAAACACATCATAAAAGTATTAAATAATTCAACTACATCATAAGGCTATAAAAATAGAAAATGACTTCATAGTCAAGGCTAAAGGTAAACAAAAAACCTTCATCAGCAAAATTTTATATTGGCAA